TTCTAAAGCATGAACTAAAGCTCTCTTCCCTACTAAGACTCCACCTTATAATTCCTGATTCACTTCTCTTGGTTTTCAACCATATTCATTTGCACTTCCTATTACTTTATATTCTTAGACTGTTTTATGTGTCTACTATTAAGTTTTAGACCTTGAGGACAGGATCCATTTCTTTTTTATTATTATCCTTATTATTTCAAATACTAAAACCTACTTTGGTTTAAGATGAGTACCTAATTAAACGAGGAAATGCTGAATGCCATAATAAATATCAGGAAAAACTATTTTGAGATTTTTGTTGTTCATCTCTAGTTGCTACTAACTACAAAAGGAAAATGTATTCTATATATAAGAGAGATTGGCAGTTACCACCTTAAACAAGCAATCAAACTCAGCATAATTAATTGTGAGACATTCCAACCTGATATGGATCCAGGGTGATATAATGTGAAGTACATAATATCATCTATTAAGTATTCTTTGCAAAAACGTTTAACCTGAATCAAATAAAGCCTGTAGACCTACTTCCAGTTTACAGGAAATGTAGGCTTGTAGCACTGTCCAATAGAACCGTTTTTTAATAGTTGGTTTATTTTTAGTGTTTATTTATTAAGTTATCTCTAACCCAACATGGAGCTTGAACTCATGACCCCAAGATCAAGAGTCATGTGCTCTACCAACTGAGCCAGCTGGAAGCCCCTAGAACTTTTCTTTTTTAAAGTTTTTTTAAAAGATTTTATTTATTTATTTAACAGAGAGACAGCAAGAGAGGGAACACAAGCAGGGGGAGTGGGAAAGGGAGAAGCAGGCTTCCCACAGAGCAGGGAGCCCCATATGGGGTTCAATTCCAGGACTTTGGGACCATGACCTGAGCTGAAGGCAGAAGCCCAACAACTGACCCACCCAGGTGCTCTAGAACTTTCTATAATCATGTAAATGTTCTATTTTTGCACCACCCAATACAGTAACCACCAACCTACTGAATTTTAATTTTCATTTTAATTAACTTAAATTTGAATTTAAATAGCTACATGTGGCTAGTGGCTACTATATTGGACAGAACAGGAGAAGATCAAGTTTACCACCACCAGAAACAATTGGACAATGGAACATTCTACAAAGTAACCAGACTGGATTTTTTAAAAAACCACTTTCAATAAAAAAAAAAAAAATTACGGGTGCCTGGGGGGCTCAGTGGGTTGAGCCTCTGCCTTCGGCTGGGGTCATGATCCCAGGACCTGGGATTGAGCCACACATCGGGCTCTCTGCTCAGCGGGGAGCCTGCTTCCTCATCTCTCTCTCTTTGCCTGCCTCTCTGCCTACTTGTGATCTCTGTCAAATAAATAAATAAAATCTTTAAAAAAAAAATTTAGGTGGGATGCCTGGGTGGCTCAGTCAGTTGAGTGTCCAACTCTTGATTTTAGCTCAGGTCATGATTGAAGGGTTGTGGGATCAAACCCCACATGGGCTCTGTGCTCAGCATGCAACCTGCTTGGGATTCTCTCTCTTTGTCTCTCTGCTCCTCTCCCCTCCCAAAAATAAATAAATAAATAAATGGTAGGAGGAATGTTCTATTTTAAAAGATATTAAAGAAACCTAATATCCAGGGGCACCTGGCCGCCTCAGTTGGTAAAGCATGTGATTCTCAATCTTGGGGTCATGAGCTCAAGCTCCACATTTGGCACAGAGCATATTAAAAACAAAAGAAAACATGGTGCCTGGGTGGCTCAGTTGGTTAAGTGTCTGTCACTTAAGCATCTTGATTTTGGCTTGGTAGTGATCTCAGGGTCCTGGGATCAAGCCCCACGTCAGGCTCCCTGCTCAGAGAGGAGTGTGCTTTGAACCTCTCCTGTTCCCCTGCTTGTGCTCTCTCATTGTCAAATAAATAAACAAATAAATCTTTAAAAACAAACAAACAAACAAACAAACAAAAAAACCACACACCGAAAATACAAATCTAACATCCAAATGTAATACCCAGACCTTCAATGGACCCTAGACCAAGAAAACAAATTAGGAAAATTTTAATATGACCTAGATAATAGATATTATGAAATTATTAATTTTAGGTATAATAATTTTATTAGTTATACAGAGGAATGCCCTTATTTTTAAGAGTTGCCTGCTAAAAAATGAACTGTTGGGATTTCATCAAGATCAAAAGCTTTTGCACAGCAAAGGAAACAGTTAACAAAACCAAAAGACAACTGACAGAATGGGAGAAGATATTCACAAATGACATATCAGATAAAGGGCTAGTATCCAAAATCTATAAAGACCTTATCAAACTCAACACCCAAAGAACAAATAATCCAATCAAGAAATGGGCAGAAGACATGAACAGACATTTCTGCAAAGAAGACATCCAGATGGCCAACAGACACACGAGAAAGTGCTCCACATCACTCGGCATCAGGGAAATACAAATCAAAACCACAATGAGATACCACCTCACACCAGCCAGAATGGCTAAAATTAACCAGTCAGGAAATGACAGATGTTGGCAAGGATGCAGAGAAAGGGGAGCCCTCCTACACTGTTGGTGGGAATGCAAGCTGGTGCAACCACTCTGGAAAACAGTATGGAGGGTCCTCAAAAGTTGAAAACAGAGCTACCCTGTGACCCAGCAATCACACTACTGGGTATTTACCCTAAAGATACAAATGTAGTCATCCAAAGGGGTACGTGCACTCCAATGTTTATAGCAGCAATGTCCACAATAGCCAAACTATGGAAAGAGCCAAGATGTCCATCAACAGATGAATGGATAAAGAAGAGGAGGTATATATATACAATGGAATACTATGCAGCCATCAAAAGAAATGAAATCTTGCCATTTGCAACGTGGATGGAACTAGAGGGTATTATGCTGAGTGAAAAGGTCAATCAGAGAAAGACAATTATCATATGAGCTCTCTAATATGAGGAATTTGAGAGGTAGGGCAGGGGTTGTGGGGGGTAGGGTAGGAAAAAATAAAACAAGATGGGATGGGGAGGGAGACAAACCATTAGAGACTCTAAATCTCAGGAAACAAACTGAGGATTACTGTGGGGTGGGTGGGAGGGACAGGGTGGTTGGGTTATGGACTTTGGGGAGGGTATATGCTATGGTGTGTGCTGTGAAATGTGTAAGCCTGATGATTCACAAACCTGTACCCCTGCAGCAAATAATACATTACATGTTAAAAAAAAAAAAAAAAAGAAAAGAAAAGAAAAAAAGTTGCCTGCTTAAGTATTTAAGGAATGATATATCACATCTACAAATACTATACACAATGGCTCTGAAAGAAAAAAGTCTGTATAACTATATATCAGTTTGTATGGGAGGAGGGAGAGAGAGAGAAAAAAAAAAAAAAAAAGCAGGGGCGCCTGGGTGGCTCAGTGGGTTAAGCCTCTGCCTTCAGCTCGGGTCATGATCTCAGGGTCCTGGGATGGAGCCTCGCATCTGGCTCTCTGCTCATCAGGGAGCCTGCTTCCTCCTTTCTCTCTGCCTGCTTCTCTGCTACTTGTGATCTCTGTCTGTCAAATAAATAAATAAAATCTTAAAAAAAAGAAAAAAGAAAAAAGAAAAAAAAAAGAAAAATGTTAATAATTGTTGAATCTGGGTTGCTAAAACTATGCTGGTGTTTAGTTGCTAAGACTATCCTGGTGTTTTCTTTTAATTTTTCTGTAAGTTTGAAACTACCCCACTTTTCTGGGGAAAAGAAAACATATAAAACTAAGCAATATTGACTATTTCTGACTTTCTCCATTAACCTGTTTGTGATTTGTGAATTTCATATAGGCCAACATTTCCTTGTAGATAAATGGCAGTAAGTACCATTTATAGAAAAAAATCTAAATTATGTTAAAGACCTTAGTTTTTTCTATGAACCAATCCAAGACCATCATTATTTATTGTAGCAGAACACCTCAAGACAGTCTCCCTTGAAAGTAGTTTGAGGGGCACCTGGGTGGCTCAGTTCGAACCCCATACTGGGTGTAGAGATTACTTAAAAATAAAAATAAATAAAAAATTTAAAAAAATTAAAATTAAAATAAAATAAAAAATAAAATAAATAAAAATAAAAAGTAGGCTCAGTCATTAGGCATCGGCCTTCAGCTCAGGTCATGATCCCAGGGTCCTGGGGACGAAGCCCCACATCGGGCTCTCTGCTCTGTAGGAAACCTGCTTCTCCCTCTCCCACTGCCCCCGCTTGTGTTCCCTCTCTCACTGTCTCTCTACCAGATAAATAAATAAAATCTTAAAAAAAAAAAAAAAAAAAGGTAGTTTGAGAAGCTCTTCTAAATAAGGGTGGAGGTCTTCTGCTTCTGTTCTCAGTTTCTGACTTTGATGCCATCAGGGCCCTGCCTTGCTCTAAGCTAAGTGGACTGGGAAACTTGGTTCCTTGGGGTGATCTCTTCCCACTGTCTGCTTTCAGAGAAAAAAGTGACCCTCAAATCACACCAGCAAGAACCAGGAATACAAATGGCTTGCGTCCTTCCCTGTAACAGGGCTAGATGCCCTGCTGCTTTATGCTAACCGCCCCACTGAGAGCCTTGGTGACAGAATCATCCCCTACCCCTATCCACTGTGGCGTCCAGCCGTCCTCTGGATATTACAGTTCTTCGAAAGCAAGCCCAGATTTTTTTTTTTAAAGCCAATTTTTTTTTTTTTTAGACTTTTATTTATTTGACAGACAGAGATCACAAATAGGCAGAGAAGCAGGCAGAGAGAGAGGAAGGGAAGCAGGCTCCCTACTGAGCAGAGAGCCCGATGCGGGGCTCGATCCCAGAACCCTGGGATCATGACCGGAGCCGAAGGCAGAGACTTAACCCACTGAGCCACCCAGGCGCCCCAGCAAGCCCAGATTTAATCCATGTCTGCTCTCCAAGAATGAGGCCTCTAAGACTCTGGGCAGGCAGGCCGGTACTCCCACCTCCCACTCTTAGCGTAAGCATTACACATCTGTTTGTCTGGATCCACTCAGTTCCCCTCCTCACCCACCTAGTCTTTGATGTTCTTTTTTCATCTGTGCCTGAAGGAAGCATCATCACTTTATTCAGGAGATAATCAAATATAACACAGGGCTGACACTGACAAATAGTTGCACACAGAATTATATAAATCTGCTCCATTTCCCAGAAGAGACTCAGTCACTGTAAACAAGGAAGAAAAACCAGGATGGTGCCTAGCCCACTGCAGTGTTTCAAGCAAGCATCCCCACACTCCCAGAGTGAAAGTGGGCCTGAGGTGGAGGTGGTCCTTTCAGCAGGAGGAGGGGGAGGCCGCACCTGTGTGGAAGTCCACCTCCGGACCCCTGCGAGGTGGCGGTCAGCGGCAGGCCTTGTTAAACTCCCGGAGGGCCCAGCGCTTGTTCTCAGTTGCCTGCTTAAGGCAAGTGTACTCTTTTACCAGCCTGTCAAACTCCTCCCCAAGGACCTCATAGGTGCTCAGGACCTGTCGGGACTTTTCCATGTCCTGCTCTTGTAGGCGAATGGCCCCTTCCAAACGGTCCCTATATGCCCGGGAAACAGAAGATACAACGTAAGGATCTGGCTCCTCAGCAAGCAGACAAGAATGTGAATATGTTAACATGAACGGGTATGGAGAGTGTGGGACCAACCCTGAGCAGCAGGACCAGGCCCTTGGGAGTTCTCACCTAATGAGACGATGAACTTCCACTTTTTCAGCAGTGTAAGTGTCGGACAAGATCTTTAGCTCCTCCATCCTGACAGAGGGAAGAAAGAAATGCTGAGGGTCCCTGACAGCAGCAGAGTTAGGAACAGGACACGGTACCTGCCCATGGTCAAGACGTGTGCTAAGCAGTGACCGGAAAAGCAAGATCCCTCTGAATTCCTGAGTAATGTATCTCACAAGAAAGCACCTATTTCAAGCTTTAAAATAAAACTCAAGGGGCACCTGGGTAGCTCAGTCGGTTGATCGTCCGACTCTTGATTCTGGCTTAGGGTGGTGAGATCCAGCTCCAAATTGCACTAAGCGCAGGGTCTGTTTGTCCCTCTCCCTCTGCTCCTTCCTCCTCCTCCCCAGCCACCTGCTGGCATGCTCCCTCTCTAAAATAAATACATAAATAAAATTTAAAAATAAAAGAAGATTCAAGAATGTTGAATGGGGGTGTGGCACAGTCGGTCTGGGTGGCACAGTTGGTCGAGTATCTGACTCTTGGTTTTGGCTCAGGTCGTGATCTCAGCATTGTGGGATAGAACCCATAGTTGGGCTCTATGTTCGGCGCTGAGTCTGCTTGGGACTCTCTCTCCCTCTCCCTCTGCTCCTTCCTACCACACATGCTTGTGTGTTCTCTCAAAATAAATAAATCTTTTTTTTTTAACTGAGATTCTCTATTTATTCATTTAAAAAAATTTTTTTTTTTATTTTTTTATTTTTTTTTAATTTTACTTATTTATTTGACAGACAGAGATCACAAGTAGGCAGAGAGGCAGGCAGAGAGAGAGGAGGAAGCAGGCTCCCTGCTGAGCAGAGCCCGATGCGGGGCTCGATCCCAGGACCCTGGAATCATGACCCGAGCCGAAGGCAGAGGCTTTAACCCACTGAGCCACCCAGGTGCCCCATCTATTTATTCATTTAAAAAAAGATTGTATTTATTTATTTGACAGAGAGAGAGACAGTGAAAGAAGGAACACAAGCAGGGGGAGTGGGAGAGGGAGAAGCAGGCTTCCCACTGAGCAGGGAGTCTGACGCAGGGCTCAATCCCAGGATCCTGGGATCATGACCTGAGCCTAAGGCAGACATTTAACAACTGAGCTACCCAGGTGCCCCTCAAAATAAATAAATCTTTTTAAAAAATATTTTATTCAGGGGCACCTGGGTGGCTCAGTGGGTTAAAGCCTCTGCCTTCGGCTCAGTTCATGATCCCAGGGTCCTGGAATCGAGCCCCGCATCGGGCTCTCTGCTCAGCGGGGAGCCTGCTTCCTCCTCTCTCTCTCTGCCTGCCTCTCTGCCTACTTGTGATCTCTGTCTGTCAAATAAATAAATAAAATATTTAAAAATATATATATATTTTATTCATTTATCTCCCAGAGAGAGAGAGAGCATGCAACCAGGGGGAGCCACAGGCGAGGGAGAAGCAGGCTCCCTCCTGAGCAAGGAGCCTGATTTGGGACTTAATCACAGGGTACTGGAATCATGACCTGAGCTGATGGCTTATGTTCAATTGACTGAGCTACCCAGGAGTCCCAAAATTAAAAAAAAAAAAAAAAAAAGTTGGGACACTTCTGGGTAATCCAATGGCTACCACTGCTGTGTGGCATTAACCCAAGACCCATAGAGAAGAAAGAGAGTTGAGGGAGAGGGTTGGACGGGTTGGTATGTGAGACAGAGTTCCTGAGACCCACAAGAGTCATATGGCTCACCTCAGCTTAAGGATCATGGCACTGCACTTGATCTCTAGGTACTGGGCATTGATGCGGTCCAGCTCAGACTGAGTCTTCAGCCGGTGCTCCTGAAGGAGCCTCTGCAGCAAGGCAAGGCAGCGCAGAAGCACCTGAACCCCCAGGAGGCAGGGAGAAGGCAAAACCACAAGTGAGTAGAAAAGAAGGCAAATCAAAACTCCTTGGCTCCCCCAAAAGATCCTCTAGGGCCAGGATAAAAGACAGAGGGGGCTATCCCAGTCCCCTGACAAACCTGGGAATAGGTGGCACTCTTCTTCTCAAGCAGCACCATCTGCTCCTTCTGCTGACTCTTGGCATCCTGGCATTGCTGCTTCTCACCCACTAGGACCTCTGCCAGTTTCCACACCTTTGCTGCCTTCAAGGTTTCACCGTCTGAATCTAGGCAAAGAGACAGAGGACTGGGGCACCTGGGTGGCTCAGTCAGTTAAGCGTCTGCCTTTGGCTCAGGTCATGATTTCAGGGTCCTAGGGTTGAGCCCCACATGGGCATCCCTGCTCGGTGGGGCACTTGCTTCTACCTCTTCATCTGCTGCTTCTCCCCCACCACCACTTGTGCTTTCTCTCTTGCTCCCTCGCTCACTCTCTCTCTCCCTCAAATAAATAAAATTTTTTTGAAGGTTTCTTTTTTTTTTTAAAGATTTTATTTATTTATTTGACAGAGAGCAGAAGTAGGCAGAGAGGCAGGCGGGGGGTGGGGGAAGCAGGCTCCCCACTGAGCAGAGAGCCCATGCGTGAGGGGCTTGATCCCAGGACCCTGAGATCATGACCTGAGCTGAAGGCAGAGGCTTAACCCACTGAGCCACCCAGGTGCCCCAATAAATAAAAAAAAGAGAGAGAGAGAGACAGACAGACAGACAGAAGACTAGACAGGAAAACCCTAATTGCTACTGCCCTTCTGAGACTATTTTTCAGCGTACTATCCCATATCTAGCCCTACAAATTCTCTTTAGGTTTTCTCCTGGTGTCCTGTTAAAATGGCCTAGTTCTCATAAAGTTCTCTTCGCTCTTACCCTTATTTTTTATTTTATTTTTTTAACTTAAATAATCTCTACACCCAACATGGTGCTCAAACTCATAACCCCGAGATCAAGAGTCACATGCTTTTCCAACTGAGCCAGCCTCGTACCCCTCACTCCTACCTTTAAGACCAGATTTGGCCCTTCATTCTTAAGGCATAGAAATGAAGATAAAGGGAATACCTATTAGCCTGAACGTTCTTCCCTATTCCATTCCAATTCTCTAGAGACGAATGAACTCATCCTTCCCTGCAGTAAGAGGACACTTGGTACCTTGCTGAATAAAAGTTCTCACGCAATTCCTTGCCTGTATTCTACCAGCAAGGAAGCAAACAAATAAGCATCTCCAGTGCTTCCTAGCTTCTGTCCCAAATCTCAAATTCAAAGCACTATTCGCAGAAGAGCAGACCAGGGACCCTGAAGGTCAGCTGTGAACAGAGCAGAGTGCCAATCCTTACCTGAATTGGGGTCATGGTAGCAGAGTAGGGTGAAACATTTCCTTTTGAGCTGCTCCTCCACTTCCAGTGGGAGCCGAGCTCTCATCCATACAAAATCCTAGAACCACAGAAGCAAAAAGAGAGATGCAAATAGATTGTTAAAACTAAGATCCGCCAGTGAGTACAGGATGGTAACACTCTCAATGATAACCAAGAAAAATGCATCAAGAGACAACAGGGAGATTCATTTTTGTTGGCCTATCAAATTTGCAAAGAACAAAATGATGGTCAAGACCCCATGTTGGGGGCACTTGGGTGGCTCAGTGGGTTAAGCCTCTGCCTTCGGCTCAGGTCATGATCTCAGGGTCCTGGGATGGAGCCCCACCATCAGGCTCTCTGCTCAGCAGGGAGTCTGCTTCCCCCCTCTCTGCCTCTCTGCCTACTTGTGATCTCTCTCTCTCTCTGCCTCTGTGTCAAATAAATAAATAAATAAAATCTTTAAAAAAAAAAAAAGAGAGAAGAAAAGGTGGGGAACTGGCAATACATACCAATATGTTTAATGTATATATCCTCTGACCAGTAATCATACATGGGCAAATACACCTATGAACGAGTCTGTTACTATCAGTGTGGTTTCTAAGCTCAAAAATGTGGAAACAACTATATCTGTCATTAAGGTTAAGCAAACTATGCTACATCCATACAATGGAATCCTTTTTTTTTTTTAAATATAATCTGTACCCCCTCCCCCAATGTGGGGCACAAGCTCATCACCCTGAGATCAAGAGCTGAAAGCTCTACTCACTGAGCCAGCCAGGCGCCCCCATACAATGGAATCCTATCAGTGATTTAAACTAATGATATAGAGGCACCTGGGTGGCTCAGTTGGTTGAGCATCTGACTTTTTTTTTAAGACTTTATTTATTTAGGGACGCCTGGGTGGCTCAGTTGGTTAAGCAGCTGCCTTCGGCTCAGGTCATGATCCCAGCGTCCTGGGATCGAGTCCCACATCGGGCTCCTTGCTCGGCAGGGAGCCTGCTTCTCCCTCTGCCTCTGCCTGCCATTCTGTCTGCCTGTGCTCGCTCTCTCTCCCTCTCTCTCTCTGGCAAATAAATAAATAAAATCTTAAAAAAAAAAAAAAAAGACTTTATTTATTTATTTGAGAGAGAGAGAGAGCGAGCATGAGAGGGGTGAAGGTCAGAGAGAGAAGCAGACTCCCCATGGAGCTGGAAGCCCGATTTGGGACTCAATCCCAGGATTCCGGGATCATGACCTGAGCGGAAGGCTGTTGCTTAGCCAACTGAACCAGCCAGGTGCCCAAGCATCTGACTTGTGATTTCAGCTCAGGTCATAATCTCAGGGTTGTGAGACCGAGCCCTGAGTCAGCTCCAGGCTCAGCAGAGAGTCAGCTTGGGATTCTCTCTCCCTCTCCCTCTCCCTCTGCCTCTCCCCTCATTTGAACTCTCTCTCTCAAATAAATAAATAAATAATTTTAAAAATAAACTTATGATATAAAAAGAACACTGAGCACAGACCATGTGCCTGGCACTGTGTTAAGTGTGCGTTAGAAGTTATCATCTTATTTACATTTATTTATTGACTTGAAAAAAGTCCCAAATATATTAAGTGAAAACAGATTACATTCACTATACAAGCATAGAGGCTACAATCCACTTAGGCTGAGCTGTATATGATATACTGTATTTATTTCTAAATGTAGAATTTCAGCTTTTACTTTCTTCTGTCTAACATTTTTCTTATTTATTTGAGTTTGGCCCTCACGAATGTGTATCATTTTTACAAAAACAATAAAGTGTAACAAAAAAAGTTTAAATATATGGGAGAAATTAAGCCATTTCACTTTTTTGATCCCAGTATCTGCTCACCCCCCACCTCTGAGGGGGGCATGAGCTCCAGAAGGTCTGCCTTCTCCAGCCCCAGCAGTGGAGGCATTTCCCTCTCCCGGCTGGGACCCAAGAGTCGTGTCAGTTCAGTCACGAGTAGCCGCTGTTCAAGGGTCTCGTGAAACTGAGAGAGAATAAAAAACAAAAGAAGTTACTATACAACTTCTCCCACTCCACCTCCTCCATCCTCATAAACCAGTTCTTCACACATTTTCAAAGTCCTCAAACATGTTATCCCCTTCAGCTGCCAGTACCTTCTCCTATCAATCTTTCTTTTCAAAACTCTTGACAACACACCCACCTCTTCTGCTATAACTACAAAATAACTACAATAGACACACAGTCTATTTCTTCATCTTTTAAAAGATTTTGTGTTTTAAGTAATCTCTACACCCAACGTGGGGCTTGAACTCACAACCCTAAGATCAAGAGTCACAAGCTCCACCCACCGAGGCAGCCAGGACCCCCGGGTCCATTTCTTCTTTGATAACTATTACTCGAAGCTCCTATTTCCCCCAGAGCATACAATGAGGTGAAGCCATAGTTGGCTTGGTCATTCCTGCAGGTGGTAAGCACCCCCTACTGCATCTCTCCTGCTTCACCTTTTTGTCGTCCAAAGTTAAATTTGTGTCTTGTGTCTTCACATAGTAGTCCACAAGCAGCTCTTGAATGACTCTCTGTAAAATCTCAGACCTCAGCCATATTGTCTTATGGAGTCGAACTTCCTTCCATGCCTAGGAAACCAAAAAATCCCAGGTAGGAACCTCTTTCTCTCTTGAAAGATTTTTCCTTTCTCCTCTCATCCCTCCTCCCAGGGCTCTTACCTGCGCCTGCTCCTTTGCCAGGGTGAGGCTTAAGCCACTCTCATCCATGTGCTGTGACAGACCCAGCAGCAGTTTGCCGAAGTGTGGGTTCCGTAACAGGTCCTCTTCACTCAGGTTACAAGGAGGAAGCTGTTTGCTGCACACTTTATGGGATGTCCCCCACAGGAGCAAAAGAAATTTAAAAAAAAAAAAAAGCAAAGAAGATATCATTATATTAATTCAGTATCACTCTTGGCTTAATACTCACTTCCAAAAACCTCTTGCTTTTTGGTAGGGAAGTTTTCAAAATATAACAAAATGTTCAAAAAAAAAAAACCCCACAAATAAACTCGAGGCAATATTCAAAGGTAACAAGCACCTATATATACATACACACAAACACATACACATAAAGATATTAATCAAGAATTAGGGAATGAGTCACTAATGAAACCAAGAGCTTAGAAAATGAAGTATATTTGGAAAGTAATAGACAGAGACAATCAGGAAAAAGGGACCTTTTAGTAGGGGTCACCATAGTACTCCAAATGTCTCACTCACAGAATAACTAGAATTCTTGAGGAAGGGGGAAAAAAACCCCAAAGGTAAAGTTCCAACTATGGATGTGTTCTCTAGTTGCATAAGCAAGACTGCAAGAAGGTATACTCAGGACTAACTGAAAAACTGAACTAAGTTCTTATTGTAAAGAGAGCTGAGTAACCCAAGTGGATTCAGAGCAGCACACACATGAGAAAAAGTGCAAGAAACTGGGATCCTGTAGTTATTCCATCAGCCCAAGGGCCTCTCTTTCCATCTCTTATTCCTACATACTTTCTGCTGTGGTCTTCTGTTTCATTCCTACTTACCAAACAATCAAACTTTCATTCTTTGGACCATGAGAAAGTCCTTTTGGAAAATAAGAACTCTCTCTTTTTTCTCCCCCTCAGGCACTGAAAGATCAACATGGCAATGTTCAAAATATAGAAGATTCAAGTTCTTGAAGGATTCAAGATATAGAAAGGCTTTGAGATAGGGAAAGAATTCAAGATACAGAAGGAGTCAAGATATAGAAAGGGTTTGAGATAGGGGAAGAATTCAAGATACGTAAGGATCTGAGATTTTGGAGTACAAGATATGAGAAAATTCAAGACCCAGGTAGGAAGGAAGCCTTCACAGAGTTTGCTGGCCACTCTTCTCTTCAGGTTATGCCTGCTGACACAGCACGGAAGCAATTTGAGTTTTTAGTCTACTGCACAGGTGGGTACTTAACAGGAGTACTTAACAGGAGCCGGTGTTGTCTGTTTTCTAATAAGAGAGTGTCCAAGAGTCTTCATGTATCCTAGTTTCCCCAGAAACTTCGGATTTTATGTGACAAACCATACTGGTGAACTTTATAAATCCTTTTCAAAATAGAAAGCAAGAATTGGCTCCGACCTCTCTGGGTAAGTCATCAAACCTCCTTCAAATGGCCTCCTTACCTTGTTGGAGTATTTCCATCCCTTCTTCGGGTAAGCAGAAATCCCCGGATGCCATCTGATTTTCTCGAAATTCTTAATGTGTGGAACTGAGTGAAAGAGAACAAGGAGTGAATAAGTTGGGTGGCTTCTTCAAGAAAACTACCTTGGGTTCACATTTCTGTTGTCTGCAACCTGGGGAGGAACCACAGGGAAGCCTCTTACAGGGAGAGACTATATCACACACCCTGGGTCCCAAGCTCCTCTACAAGTTTTTTTGTTTTTTTTTTTTTAATATTTATTTATTTGACAGAGAGAAGTCACAACTAGGCAGAGAGGCAGGAGGAAGCAGGCTCTCTGCAGAGCTGAGAGCCCGATGCAGGCCTCAATCCCAGGACCCTGGGATCATGACCTGAGCCAAAGGCAGAGGCTTTAACCCACTGAGCCACCCAGGCGCCCCTCCTCTACAAGTTTTAAGGGCAGACTTACAAGTGGCAAAACAATTTGCATTCTAAGCACATAAACGTTTCCATTTGTTCCAAGCTGTCGAAAAAGGAGCCTCCTTCAGAAAGAAAATTTTCCAATTCACTAAACAGAAGGATGCTCCCCTCCCCTCAACATTATGTCTAAGTTAAACCTGAGCTGCTGCTTTCCAGTTATGAGTGAACTGGGGAAAGGCGGGGGGGTCCAATGTCCGCTTCCCCCCCCCCAGTCAAATAACTCCACTATCAAATTCCACAAAATAGTTTCTTGAGCTTCTTTAATTTGTCCTTTCATCTAAAATCTGTTGGTAGTTTTTGATCATTAACTCTAGAATCATCCTTCAGGAGTGACAAATCATTCCGCACTTGAACTACAACTGCTTTTCACATAACAGCATTAGTAAGGAGCACCTTAAGGAAAGAGCATGACAAGAAGACTGACAGGAAGGTCAGTACCAGAAGAGCAAGGCAAAAGTGTGGTTAATGCAGCTGAGGCTGGGATGGGAGCTGTCAGGTGTTTTGCCAGAACACGGAGTACACTGAAAAGTATGACATCAACACAAAGGGGAAGCAAAGGTGGGCACTTTGTGGACTTTGGAGACTAAATTTTTCCCTTGAGGTGATTTTCCTCTTTTTTTTTTTTTTTTTTTTTGCTCCACCCACTCCTCTCTGTAAGATATCAACTCCAAAGGGCAGCTGAGTCTCCCAAAGCACAAGACATCGAAGGTTATTATGATTTAACACTTTAAGTTCACAGAACATTTGGTTTACTCCCTCGTTTTATGAGTAGCATCAAAGTAAGTACTCATTTATTTTGCAACTTCGTCCAGAGGGGAACACAGATGAGGAGTCGGAATGCTAAGACTTAATTTGCAGTTCTGCAGTTCCTTCTGTGTGGATTTAAGGGAAACGTTTTTTGTTTTTTATGCCAAACTTTTTTCCACCTGCAGAACGGAGATAATGAATCCTGCCGTGGCTGAGACACCAAGAATTAACAACACAATCGACCTGTCAACAAAAGCCACTAGTTAGTTAAGTCCAGTGTTTTAACAATTCTGTTTATCATTGACCTAAGTTCTACAGGCAAATTTCACACACGGAAATGAGGACCAACACAAATTTTAAAAGTCAGCTGTTCTTGGGGCTGCCTGGGTGGCTCAGTGGGTTAAGCCTCTGCCTTCAGCTCAGGTAATAATCTCAGGGTCCTAGGATCGAGTCCTGCATCGGGCTCTCTGCTGGGCAGGGAGCCTGCTTCCTCCTCTCTCTCTCTCTCTCAGCTTGCCTCTCTACCTACTTGTGATCTCTCTCTGTCAAATAAATAAAATCTTAAAAAAAAAAAAAAGTCAGCTGTTCTTCCCTCCCTAGGGGAACTGCCCACTTGGGTTTTCTTGGGGTGCGTTTCTTCACCCTTTTAAAATGTTACAGGGAGTGAACGAAGGCGGGCGATCAGGCTCGATTCTCCACCCTCTGCACTCAGACGTGTTAAAACGCTGCTACACGGACCCAAGCATTTAAATGTTCTGACTCAGGCGTCTTTTAAATTCTTAGAGCTGTCTTTACACGCTGCACTGAACGTTAAATTGATTTTACAGGTATTTTCACAAGATGTGACCCTTACAGGGCCCGAGATGAATCAAAATGCAGAGCGGGCTCTCTGGCGCCTACTTCCCTTCCGTCTGGGCAGCCAAGGATTCCCAAGGGCGAGGGCGGCCGCAGCGGCCAGGGGCCGGCACTAACCCTCCCAGCACTCCGCCTCCCCTCAGCGCGGCCCGCCGACTCTCCGAGGCAAACCTGCACACGCGAGGGCAGCTGAAGCTCCCGCGGCCGTGCGGAACCGGCTGGGGCGAGCTGGCCCGAAGCGTCGACACCGAAACCACGCCCGCCCCCGGGCTCCGGAACTTCTCACTCGGGCCTGCCGCTTAGGCTGGGGGAAGATAGGCCCGGGAGGACCGCGCGGGAAGGTCGGGAGGTACGGGAAAGGCCCGAAGTGCTCGCGAGTCCACCAGCGAGGGGAAGAGGGGCGGGGCCACGCTCGAGGCGGGAACGGCGGGTCCGCCCCGCGCGGAGCGCGAGCCCTGGGTCCTCAACCGCCTGGGAACCCGGCTTTTAGAGTGTGAGCCGGGAGGGGTTCTTGGCCCCTTTTTCTGAGTACCTCCCCCTTGCTGAAGGCAAATGTTGAGAAAAATGGTAATGATTGCTAACATTTATTGAGGGCCTACAGTGAGTCAGGAACTGTTTCAAGCAAGGGTTTACTTGCCATTCCTCGCTTAGATCTCTTGTAAGTTCCTACAGCGTCCTATGAGGAAGTCACAATCATACCCATTTTACAGAGGGGAAAACTAAGGCGCTAGGAAATTAAGTAACTTGTTTGAGGTCGCACCTCACAACGTCTAAACTTGACCCGGTGGCCCTCTGAACCTTCCCAGACCTGTTGCCCACACTGAGCCTGCCAGTCTCTTAGCTCTGGCACAGCCCCCTAGGTCAGCTTTTTCTCTAATTTCCTGCCCCAGGCTCCTCTAACCTCTCCATTATCTCTCATCCTTCAGCTTGCTAGCTCTGTCACATGTGCTCTCTCTCGCTCTTCCTCCCTCCCTCCTACCTTCCCTGCCTCCTTTTTAAACTATAGGAGCATTTATTGTTTGCTTAAGAATAAATCTGGAGCTGAAGGTCCCAGAGCTTTTTAGCAGCTCTGTGGGCAGTGTTCTTTGTAGTTCTCTTTGCATTTCCCTCATGGTCACAGGGTAGTTGCAGAAATCCAAGAAGCACATCCAACTCAACAGCATCCCAAGCAAGAAGGAAGGAGAGGAGCCTTCAGTCAGAGAAGAAACCCTTTCCCAAAGTACTACCCAGCAGACTTTCCCCTATGTCTCATTGGCCAGACTGGGTCACTGGCCATCTCTAGACCAATGAGCTAGATGTCTTCCATTTGCCCCCCAGATGCACATTCTGCTTTTTGACACCCTATATAGACCAGTAAGTATTTCAGGGTTCCATACTCTCTGACTGCTGTCAGCCAAGAGGGATCCCAGCAGGAGGTCGCATGGCAGGAGGGGGACAATTACCTCTGACACCACTCCCACCTTCTTTTCAAAGTGGACTGGAATGTAGTCATTAAGGGAATTATTTCAAAAATAGTATTTGATACTAAGTAAATTACACTAAGTTTCTTAAATCTCTTGCATCAGAGAAGCTGATAGTCTGGGGTGGTGGGGAAGGAGCCTTGGTTAGGCATGTAGAGTGGTAGAGAGTTTCATCGTTTCCTTTGTGCTAACTAGAGAGTTCTAATAGCAATACTTAGAGGAATAGTGTGATCCAGAGCAGAAATTTTATATCTCTGGTCATCTTGTCAGCTGCCACCTTTCATGCTTAATATTAAAGTGCTGTCATTTTCTACGGCTTTTAAAAATCATTTATGCTTCCTCAGCTCTGTGGTGCGACATCATTAAATATCAGGCATAATGTTCCTAACAAACGATACTTGGAACAAAATAGCAAGCATGCTTTGGTGACTCAGAGATGATCAGAAATCGACTGAAATTTCATGTCTCATATTTGTCCAGTTTTATAATAGGGTACTACAAGCTTTGGCTAAGCAACTCTAAAGGACTTGGGGAATGGGAGAAGTGTGCAGAGGCCTGTCTTCAGATAGGGTAGAAGGGAAGGGAGGGAGAGAGCCATGGGAAGCCTTGAATCAGATCAAACCGTCCTATGCAATTATCTATTCCATCTCTCCCTCCCTCTCTCTCTCTCTCTCTCTCCCTCTCCCTCTCCCTCTCTCAATAACCTTGGGCTTCAGGTTTCTTATTTGTCAGAAGGAGGAAATAACATATTTCTAGCTCCTCCAATCTCGGAGTGTTGATGTAATGATCAAATGAGATAATGGCTGAGAAAGTGCTGTGGGAAGACTATCGGAGTGAGGTATTTTAAAATTGACACTTACTGAGCACGTATTACACGCCTTGGGGAGACACAGAGATAAATATGACCCAGTCCCTGCCCTGAGGAAGTTCATAATCTAGTTGAGAAGATTAAGACATGCACATGAAAAGGAAATAACACAACACGGCAAAAAGGTGTCAAGAAAGCAGTTTAGATTATAAATACTTGAGAAACTTGGGACACCTGCCTGCGTGGCTCGGTCAGTTAAGCATCTGCCTTTGGCCCAGGTCCTAATATCCTGGAATGGAGCCCCACATTGGGCTCTTTGCTCAGCGGGGAGCCTGCTTCTCCCTCTGCCTGCTGCCCCCCGCCGCTTGTGCCATCTCTCTCTCTCTTTGACAAATAAATAAAATCTTCAAAAAAATAAATACTTGAGAAACTTAAGAGAAGTTACAAAATCCTTTCTGCAGGAATGGATAAGAAAGACTATGAAATCAATCTTAGCTGGGCATAAAAGAGAGAAAATTTGGATCATTTAGGGTGGAGGAAACACCTCAGCAAGCAGAAGCAGAGACAGGAAGTCCAAGTTGCCTTCTGGGTTCAAAAGGAGATGGGACTGGCTGAAGGGAAGGGGGCTTTATAGGCCAGTTCTGCGTAAGACTAGAACACTGAGCCTATAGACCATGTTGGCAATAAAAACTGCAGCAAAATACTGAAAAAAGATCTTACAATCACACACCATCTGGTGTCCTTGAGCAAGTAAGATTTGCAAGAGAAGCCCTAGAATTAATTCTCTTTTTCTCTCCCTCTTCCGTCTTCTCTCCTTTTTTTCCCTCCCAGATTAAAAAACCAAACAAACAAAAAAACATGCACACAGGTGTACATGGCTGGCTCAGTGGGAAGAGCATGGGACTGTTGATCTCAGGGTTGTGAGTCTGAGTCCCACATTGGGTGTAGAGATTACTAAAAAAAATAAAAACAAAGAACAACAAAACACACACACACACAGAGTTTAATTAGGTATTTTGACACACAATATTTAATATGTACAATTCATTAAGTTTTAACCTTAACCTTACATACTTACTATCACCACAATCAAGACAGTGAACAGAGGCATCACCCCTAAATACTTACTTGTGTGCTTTTGTAATTCTCTCGGGCCCCTCCCAACCACTGATCTGCTCTCACTATAGATTAGCCCACACTCACTAGAATTTTATATAAACGGAATCAAATAAAGATGTACTCTTTTTTGTCTGGCTTCTTTCACTCAGCATAATTTTGCAATTCATACATGTTGTTGCTAGTATCAATAATCCATTTTTTTAGTTCATATCTTTTTATTGCTGAGACGTAGTACAGAATCCTCTTAAAAAACCTTCACTTGTTTGGGTTTGTAGTTAAGGAGGTGTTTCCTCCATGACCCTAAGTTACCTATCCCGGTGCTTGGCATCCGGAGGCACTTACTTGTCGCAGGAGTGAATTTTGGCCCCCCCCACAATGCTAATTCCTTATATAGTTTTGTTTGTTCAGTGGAATGCTTGACCTTTATAGGCCTGTCTCTTCATCAGTGTTGTTCATCTCACATTCTGCTATGCCATATGCAAAATACAATCGCTCACGTCTTAAGTGTTCTTTAATGATAAAGCCAAGAACATGCTCAGAAGTGTTCCTGAGCTAGATTCCTGCAGGGAATTGGGGGCAGGGGGAGGGCGTAGAAAGATAAATTAGGCAAACCCCTGCCCACAATTTAGCTCTACTTTCTGGAAGACATTGCTCTCGATCAAGTATCCAAAAAATATGAACGCGTATGTTTTTGACTTGATGATAAATGTAAATGGAAGCCTGAGAAAAAGTTTACTTAACCTTTCAGACTTGGACATTCCTTTGCTGCATTGTTTAGTATTACAGAGAAGAACGGAGATTTGCTGAGAACACCTGCAAGAACTCTGCCTCCCACACTCTAGCTGGGAAACAAAATGGTGCCACAAAGATAGAAATTTCAGGTGAGTATTTAGTACATATCCTATTTATCAAACTAATGGAAACTTTCAGGTAGAATATGGTCTCACATGGAAAATTCAGGCTTAAATAACCAGTTTCAAAGCCAGGATGTTAAAATAGCTGTTGGACTGTGGAACCACACTTAACTGAGCAATTGTTCAGAAAATTTAAAAAAAAGAAAAGAAAAGAAAAAGAGCCATACCACTTTGAAAGTATCCGAAGACAAGTAGCAAGAATGTTTTTGTATTATGGACCCGGAAACCAGTTTCAGGAATAAAATTTACAGGCAGTCAAGAGGTTTTAGAATTATTTTCAAGGGTGTTCACTGGAAAATGAAGGTATTCAGAGACACAACTATTGGTGATTAAGCTAGGAAATTCCATGCCCATTGTAAGTACATGATTTAAGGAGGAAACAAGTGGATAAAGAAAATATGTAATCAACCTATGACATCAAAAGAAAATTTTAGAACAAATGTTCATAATTTGCCATTTTTCAATTGCTTAACCATTCCAAGGGGATTTCAAACCCAGCCCCCTCGTAGCTTCAAGGGTTGCCTGTCTCTTCATGGAAATTTTGTTATACAAACTGAAATGAGCCTGGTTTTACTTTGAGACACGACACCATTGTGAACTAGTATATAAATAAGGCCTGATAGGACATTTTGGATCTCAAAGAGAAGCTAAGAAATTTGGCTCAAAAAATGGGACAGATTGAAACAATTTTTACCAAAGGAATATGAGACAGTAAAGGAAATTGATTTAGAAGAAGACTAGTATCATTTTTGAAAAAGCTAGACATGAGGCACAACGTGTGCAGTTCTTGTTATAAGGATTGAGTGTGCTGCTGTAATGAGAAAACATGGGCCAGGCTGATAAAAGTATTTCCCTGGATTTTAAACTGATGGTGACACTGTCTCATACTGAGCTGCATATGAAAGAGATTTTCTCCTTTAAAAACTGTAACAGAACCAGGGAGAGAAACAGACCAACCAAAGGGCATTTGGAGTTTCGTTCTTGGGAAGAACATACATTGTGAATTTTGAAATGCCTCCTGAGATTAAGGTGTTATGGCA